TCACACAGACACACACCCACCCACACCCACGCCCACACACACTCACTCACACACACACGTATATATATATATATATATATATATATATGTGTGTGTATTATTATATATATATATATATATATATGTATGTATGTATGTATGTATGTATGTATGTATGTATGTATGTATGTATGTATATATATATACATATATACATATATATATATATGTATAGATATATATATACATATACATATACATAGACATACATACATATATTTGTATATACATACGCCACACGCGTATCTAGCATCTCGAATTTAGGTGAGACGGTCTCAGCTCGATGCATATTCAGATCTTTGCCCAAGACATAAAGCTGACACAAGTTTTATGATTTCCATCTATTTATAGCTGGAAGTTTCCGGAGATCCAATGAAACCTGTGCTCATGCCGGAAGACGCCAACCCGGATAACCATATTGTGGGAGGTTCGTATCTGGACATTCTCAATTTCTCCAATAAGGACATCGCCTACCAGCTCACACTCATCGAATTGGCAGGGTTCCAGTGTATACCGGTGAGGAAGCGCATAAACTGTTGTTAGTCGCGTACATATGTTGCGTATCCATTGACCGTCGCAAATCTGACGTGCTTGGTTTGCGTCTTCGGAACGAGGTTTTGCGTGCAGTACCCATAAATGTAGACATACACCTACTTTATCGCATCACATATAGACATACACCATACTTTACCGCATCACATATAGACATACACCACACTTGATCGCATCTCATATAGACATACACCATACTTTACCGCGTCACATATAGACATACACCATACTATATCGCATCACATGTAGACATACACCATACTTTATAGCATCACATATAGACATACACCATACTTTATAGCATCACATATAGACATACACATACTTTATAGCATCACATATAGACACATACACTATACTTTATAGCATCACATATAGACATACACCATACTTTATAGCATCACACATAGACATACACCATACTTTATAGCATCACACATAGACATACACCATACTTTATAGCATCACATATAGACATACACATACTTTATAGCATCACATATAGACATACACCATACTTTATATCATCACATTTAGACATACACTATACTTTATCGCATCACATATAGACATATACCATACCTTAGCGCATCACATATAGACATACACCATGCTTTATCGCGTCACATATAGACATACA